CTGCAGGAGCAGGCCCAAGCAGGTCAGTCCCTGGGCAGACATGGGTGTGGCCACAGGTGTCACCCTGGGATGGTGTACCTTCTGCCCAGTGTTTGTCTGAAGAGCCTACAGTAAGAGGTCCCAAAGGAGGCCAAGCCCAGCACCTGGCCCGAGAGGTCAGGGGTTGGGCAGGAGATAATGGTCTGAGGGTGGAAGCGGTCAGCACACTCCCCCACCTCCCTGTCCATGGGAGCTGAGAGCCCCTGCTCACCCCCAGCCCCGTGGGAAGCAGAGTGAATGTCACCACATCACTCTGGCCCAGGCCAGCACCAGGCTCCACTGCCCCGCCCTTCCTTTCCTCCAGCTGACAAGCTTTGAAGTGAGGATGAGATCCTCTACCTCAGAGGGCCATGGAAACGAGACGGTGTCTGTGAACTACCTCACATACTGCCTGTCCCTTAGCAGAGCTCCTCAAAATATCAGTTCTTTGCTGCCCAGAACCAGTCCCATGGTAGTGACCTGGGAGACAGCCAGCCCTGGACCGAGGAGTAAAAAACAGTAAGGGTTCTTCCCCATTCCAGCCTCCACCCCGTTTCCAAAATCATTCCCTGAGCAGACAACTAAGTTTGAGGGATAAAACATTAGATGGACTCATCTAGATGCCAGCCATGGAGCAACTCATTCTCTGAGTCTGTTTCCTTGTTTGTAGAGTGGGGGTCTGACGACGTGGTTCTCTGAGCAGTGAACCTCTGAGGACATGGTTCTCTGAGCACTGGGGGATGAGGTGGACTCCCCAGCCCCACCACCCCTCTCCCAACCAGTGATGCCAGAGAACCCACAGGCACAGTGCTCTGCTCTGCTCTGCTGTTCAGCTACAAACAGCCAAGTCCCTCCCTCCCCACCCAGCTTTATGTCCCACCCCCACCTTCCCAACCACCCAAGGACTCTTTGGCAAAGAACTGTGGCAGAAATCCAAAAGTCAGTTGGGACCAGGTGATTTCAGCCAATCCTTCATCCTGGCCTCCACCCCAGCCTCCATCTCAGTCTCTGTCTCACCATCCCAGACAGGGACCCACCGCCTTCTATCCCTCCCCTGCCACCAAACACACACAGCTGCATTCCCCTCCCACTCTACATGCTGGGCACGTGAGGGACAGGAGGGAAGAGAGTGTGTCCCCCGACCCCAGCTTTCAGTCTCAGGAGTCTCAGAAGACAGTACAAGTCAAAGTGTCAAGGCTCAGAGTGACAAGTACACAATATTGCAGGCCCTAGATCTGGAGACAGTACTTGGTTTATTCTGGGTTTTGTTTTGTTTTGTTTGGCTGCTGGCCACTATGGGGATCTGAACCTGTGACCCTGGCGTTATAAGGCTGCGCTCTAACCAACTGAACTAACCAGCCAGCCAGTATTTGGATTTTGGTCAGAGCAAGGGAGCGGGGTGAAAGGCACACCACCCCCACCCCCACCCAGCACCACCTTCTTCCCTGTCTCCCCGCTGGCAAAGAGTCTGAAAGTGGAGAGGCCCAAGAAATCTCTTAGAGTGCTCAGATGAAGACCTGATGTCTCACCTTCGAGCCCGTGTGGAGACGAGATGGGGAAGATGGCTGCACGGGGCTGCACATTGGCCCACCCAGGGGCGTTTCTAGACAAAGTCTCCCAGGACAGGATGGGCAGGATGAGGGGTGAGGCTTGGCTTTGACCTTCCTGCCCTGTGACCCCTGCCAGGCCTCCCCTCCCTTGGGCAGCCCAGCAGGTGAGGCTGGGCAGTGTAGAAAGGACAAAGTCTGGCTGTAAAGGGGCAGGTGGCACCCCCTACCAACAAGACCCCAGAAATATGAGCAGGACCAGGGGTCTCTCCAGGATTGCTGTGCCCTCGCCTCTTCACAATAAAACCCAGTAAATAGGAGTGGGACATCTGGATCTCCGAGGGCATGAGGGGTGGCTTGCCTAAACTCCAGGGACAGAGACCAGCCTTGCTGCAAAATGTGTGCCCATCCTCACTGCTGCCCTTCAAACGTAACCACGAAGTGAAACAAAGACCCTCTGGGAAGGGCCACAGATCCCAGGCCTGCCCAGCTCATCACTCCAAAGCATCTCCCTGGCAGCCCCCATCCAGCATCCCTCTGCCTACAGCAGGGGCGATCTCCCACCTCAGACTATGGAAGGAGCTGCAAGCAGCTCCCTGGCCCCTCCCTGCACGCTGCCACCCAGCCTGTTCCGGAACACAAGAGTCCTGTTGCCCTTCACATTTGCCTCAGGGGCTCTCCCCAGGGCTCTCCTATGCTGCTCAGGCTCTGGAGACTGGCTAGTGGGACACTGCCCTCCAGCACAAGTGTACTCCCACACCCCTCATCCCCTTGGATGTCCTCCTAGATGGATGACAGACTTCAGAGCCTTGGTGTAACACACACCCTATGGTGGCTGCAATGGGGGGCCTCCCTCTCACCCCAGCTGTTTCCACCATCAATTCCTCTGTACCAGCCAAGTCATCCTGGGCATTTCAATGGGCCTGGGGCCACCCAGACAGAGAGATATGGGACTCTAGTGACCCCATCCCACCCACCAACCTAGGACTAGCTCCATGTCTGAAGACCAGGAATCCATGGTGACTGAGAGGGTGGGCTTCCCCTGCCAGGGCACAGCAACCAGGGACTTCCGGAGAGCCCTGCCTAAAATACACCCCTGCTACTGCCAAGCTCCAGCCCAACTTGCCTCCAAGCCCCAGACAAATGCACTTACGGGGGTTCCTCGGGGCTCGCAGGAAGGAGTGAGGCCTCCGTGTCTGGACTGGGACAGACAGGACGGGGCGCTGGCTGGGTGAGGGGTTTAAAGGGCTACCGCTGTGGTGATGTCAGCCTCCCCCGCTGGCTCACCCCTCGGGCCCCTCCCTGCTGGAGGAAACTGGCTCTGCTCCCCACCCCCAGGCTCCCAGTGATTCCACACAGGCTCCATATTTGGGGAAAGACACCAAGTTGGAGCAGTCTACCGGGGGCAGCCCGAGACATTCTCTGCGTGCTTTGGAGATGGAGCGGCCGGGGCGGGGCTGCACTGCCAGAGGGGAGCTGGCCGGGAAAAGCCTTTTATGGGCAGGACCATGAAGGCTTTCCCTGCTGTCCGGACTTGAGGCTGCTCCTTTTTCACTGTTTCCTGCCCCCTGAGTTTGAGGGGAGGGGAGTTCAAGAGAGTCAGGACAGAGAAAGAGAAAAGGGTCTGGGGAGCTGGGATCCCTGGAGTCTGTGGGGAACAAACCAGCTACCCTCTCTTCCTGAGGCTTTCAGCTGTAGTCAGACACAGGAACCGACCTTTACTGAGGATCTGTTCCATACCAATCACTTTGCAAATACTCTTGTTTAATACTCATAGCTACATCATGAGGGCATAATTACTATCCCCATTTTACAGATGAGGAAACTGAGGCTCGGAGTGCATCTTCTCGAAGGCCACATGGTGAGTGGTGAGTGGCAGAACCTGGGCACCCCTGCCAGTCCCTGTGTAGGTGCTGCAGAGGCTCAGACCCACTCTTTCCATGGTACCAGTCTGCTCAGATTGAGAAGAGCTTTCAGTTGGGGTGGTCTTCAGTCATGTGCTTTAGTTGGGGGTGAGATTTGAGGATTCAGCAGCAGCTGAGTCAACCCTAGTCCCCATTGAGAGCAGTGATAAGAGGGTCTCTAAGGACTGGCAGGGCCTGGGAGACTAACACCGGGGCAGGAGGCTTAGGAGACTGGTACCATCCCTCCTTCCCTTCAGGAAGAGTCCTTACCTATTCTGGAAAACAGACGGGACTCTATCACACCAGGAAGGAGACCCACTCACATTTGCTTGTACCTGGCTTCAGGGGTCTCCAGAAGGGAAAGGAGGTTAAGAAAGGTGCGAGACTTCCAGTGGGGCCTCTGGGCTGCCTGCTGTGGCACCCCCCCATTCAAGGGCACCTGATAGGGAAGATCTAAAACTTTCCACTACACACACAACACATACACACACACACACCCAGTGCACCCCAGGCCAAGCAAGGCCTCATGAAAGGGATGGCCAGGCCTGCCAGACAGGGGAGGGGCCCGCCTTAGACGCTCCGCCCACCACAGCCAGCCTCACTCTTGCCAGAGCCTAGTGGTGCATAGAGCTCTAGTGCCTCCCAGTGGCGCAACAAGGGAAGAGCAGGGAGAGGAGCTGGGGACCAGCAAAAGCCCATACCTTCCATCCCTGGACCCCATACACCTCTGGCTGTCCCCTGAATTCACCAGATTCCTTGGCCCCTGAGTCTTGTCCTCCTTGGCCTTCTGAAATCTAAAGCAACATTGCCGGGACATTTCTCTTGGAACCTGCTCGCCATCCATCACCATCTTGCGTTTTCTGAGCACCAACCCCACCCTGGCCAGCACTCTCACTCAGCAACCAGCCACCCTCTCTGTCTATTAAAGCCAGGTCTGGGGGCACTGCCTGCACCTACAGCCTATCAAGCTGGGAGGGAGAGGCGCCTCAGGTCGCAAGTGAAGCCAGCCTCTGGCGGGTAGGGCCAGGTGGGCAGAGGCTGCTGCTATTTGCCAGTTTGGGGGGGAGTCTCCAAGGTAAGATGACATGGCAAAGGCTTTTTCAATAATTAGCCTCTTTGGACTGGCCCGTGGCTCACTCAGGACAGTGTGGTGCTGATAATATCAAGGCCCAAGGTTCGGATTCCTATACAGGGATGGCCGGTTGGCTCACTTGGGAGAGCGTGGTGCTGACCACACCAAGTCAAGGGTTAAGATCCCCTTACCAGTCATCTTTTTTAAAAAAAAACCAACAAACTAGCCTCTTTGCCCAGTATAGTGCCTGGCACAGAGCAGGCCCCTGGTAGATGTTTACTGAATTAATGCTGTTGCTCGAGGGAGAGGAAAAAAGTGGGGTCATCAAGGAACTGCAGTTCACATGCAACCGCGGCTTGGAAGGAGAAAGACCAGAAGAAATGAGAAATGGAGGACCCCTGCCCCATCCCTCATTCTCAACATCTCCACCCAGGAGGTGAGCAAATAAGGGCCCACAACTGCGTCTGGTTGTTTCTTTATTGAATGCAGACTCATTCATAGAAAACAGAAATGCAACCGTAGTGTGGAAAGACATAAAACGGAGCTCTGAAAAAAAGATTCAGACCCATCTCCTTTACCCAGCCCAAGGAGAGCTATAAAAACAATTTTGAGAAAATAAAACACATTCCCATCCCAGGCAGAGGTCCAACCTAACCTCCCTGATCCTTGGCATCTGGAATGGACTGAACTGGGTGAAGGGGATACAAGGACCAGAGTGCCCATGGGGGCTCAGAGCTGGGGGCAATTCAGTGTAAACTCCAGGTTTCCCATGGATGCATGTGTGTGACTAACACAGAACGTGGCTGAAGACTGGACGGAAACTCAGAAGCCAGCCCTGGCTCTTAGAGTGAGGCTGGGACTGGGGACATGGAGGAAAATAGCATATCCCTTCCTTAAGCCCCTTTCTAAGACAGGCACTGCGGCTCCTGCAGCTGTGGAGGAGGCAGGATGTGCTGAGCTCTTTGTCTCTTCCCTCCTTTGCCCCTGGACATTCTTGGGCAGTGTCAATGGCACTGGAAGGCCCCCTGCTGGGGCTTGGCAGGACTAAGGGCCTGGAAAGAAAGGAAGGGACGGGGTGAGTCACTTTCCCCCAACTCCTGGTGCCAGCATCAGTCTGGCGGCTGATGAGATGAGGAGGTGACCTCTGAATTCAGCCCTTCAGATCAGAAGGTGGTTCTCAAATTGAGCTGACCCTCATTGCTAAAGAGCCAGTCCCGAGCCCAGGTCACAGGGAGGTGGGTCCTGCCCTGGGCTCCTCACAAGCCTTAGCACCAAAGGCCTGGCACCAGCTGGCCAGCCCCCAAAAACCCACACCCGCATCCATTCTGGCTGACCGGAATGGGCAGTGATGGCAGCCAGGTACAGCCCCAAAGAGAACTGGGCCCTGGTGCAGGACAGAGCAGTAGGTCCCAGACTAGGGCCCTGAAGTGGGAATGTGGGAGGAAGAAAGGGCTTTGGGTCCCAGGCCGAGGGGGAGGGGAAGGACGGGCAGAATGCAAGGCATGAAATGGCAAGGGCATCACCTTCCCTCCTTCCTCCTGCAGAGGGACACATGGACAGCCAATGGACAAGGGCCCGTGGAAGGCCCCAACACTGAGAAGAAAGCAGCAATTTGGCCAATGTCTGTGTTTCAGGGGAGCAGACTTCCTCCCTGGCAAAGGGCAGCTGCAAGGCTCAATGCCACCCCATGACTGTCCCAGAGCAGGCCTGGGCTAGACCTCGCTGTCCTGCCGCCATCCAGCGCTGGGCAGCGGGGCTGGGACTCACAGCCCCAGTACTACAGAGGTACCCTGAAGGTGACACATAGGAGCTCAGGTCCCCATGAGGTGAAGCAAAGGGCCCAGCTCCTGCTAGAAGACGTAGATCTTGTCCCGCTGCACGGTATCCAGGTCGTCATCCAGTGTCAGCAACACCTGCGGGGTGGGTACAGGATGAGGCACAAAAAGAGACAACCTGTGCCCCTACTCCACCCTCCCCTGCTCAGGCCAGGAGAGTCCCAGTACCAGGAAGGACCCAAACATGGCGATGGAGGAGAGGAAGTGCCAAATGTCATGGTCATCAAAGAAGTCGAGGAGGATGCAGTCCCGGTTGTGCTCCCTCGACTCTGCAGGGGTTTCCTGGGGGAGGAACAGGGAGAACCACCTGCTCGGGCAAGGCCAGGGCTGGATCCATCTCCTTTCTCACTCCAGGGCACCCCCTATTCCCAGCCCCAGCAGGAAGGCACCCTATTCTGACCCATCCCTTGTCCTTGTCCCCTACATCTAAGAAATGGCCTTTTGTTACAAATTTCTCCTGAATTCACTGGCTTCTGCTCTTTTTTCCCCTTTCACTCTTACCCTCATCCCTTCAGATTCTTCTTCCCTTGATCTAAGAGCAGAGGGAACATCAAATTGGACCCCATGAATATTTACAATTACAATGTGTCAATTAAAAAAAAAATGAGAGCAGAGGGCTGTGATGACCTTGAGATGCCCTCACCTCAGAGAAGCTAGAAGGCCGCGAAGCCTCCTCACCTATTCCCTGCCTTGGACTCTGACCCCTACTCTAATCCTTCCTCCAAGTTCATTGTTTTCTACAAAGCACTATTGTCAGTCACGTCTCTGCTCAAGGGCAACAGCAGCCAGGACCTGTGGCACTCCAAGTCCTCCCTGGTCTACCATAACTTCTATCGCACACTTACTGACCATCCACCCTGCGTCAGGGGCTGTCTGTGCTACATGCTGAGGCCACAGACTGAGCAAGATCTTCCCTGCCCTCGAGTTCACAGTCTTCACTTGGCTCCCCAATGAGTGCATTCACTGACCTCCAAACCTGCCTTGTTTATTTCTGCCTCTGTATCGCCACTCAGGTCACAGCATCTCTGGGCCCTTCCCATCACCCAGGGCCTTTATGGCCAAGTGCGAGGCCCACCTCCTCCAGGAAGCTTCCTGGATTAACACAGATCTCTCTGTCCTCGGTCCTCCTGTATATTCCCCTGCCCCATCTGGCCTGTGTCCTTCATTTCATGTATCATATTGTAAACATCACGACATGAACCAACAGTCTCTCTCTCTTGAACCAGACTATGAGGGCCTCAAAGGCAGACACCATGTCAGACTTAGTTCTGGTCACAGAATTAAAGCCTGGCACATGGTAGGTGCCCTATGAGGCAGAGGAGACAGCCTGACATCCTTAGCTTCAAACCCCAGCTGTGCCACTCACTGGCTATGTGCCCTTGGGGAGGTTGTTTGGCCTCTCTGAGCCTCAGCTGCCTCATAAGTAAAATGGAGCTCTCTCCGCACTGGAATGTTTAATGTTAGGAGGATTAAATGAGAAAGCAGCTATGAAAGTGCTGGCCCAAGGTAGGTGCTCCCAAACAATGTTTAAAAAGAGAACTGGCCATCTGTCGGCTCACAGTGTGCCCGTGGCCACTACTCACCTGCCAGGTGCTGAGTCCCTGGAAGAAGAAGAAGAGTGCAAAGCCCCAGACCACGGAGGTGCAGACGATGCAGAGCAGGGGGATGAGCTTGATCCTCTCCCCGCTCCGGAGCTGGGACGGGGTGAGGAAGGAACAGCAGCCTCAGGGCCAGGCCTCGTTCCACTTTATTTCACAGCCTTGCCTTGACTTCCCTGCCTGATGCCTTCCCAGGCTTTCAGGACTGATCCTTTAAGATTCCTTCTTGGATTCATACCACTTCACACAGCCACACAGCACAAGTCCCCGCGCTAGCAGCCTGGTGTCCTCACCCCAATATACACCCTGGCTGGGTCTCCACGTACCCAGAACCTTATGCTGGCAAAGCGTACTGGCCAGGGGGCTCTCCCTGTGCAGGGGGCTCTCTCACAGTGGATGGCATGGGGGTCCCTTGGGAAGCACCTGGTCCTCACAGGCCCAAGCCCAGCACAGATTCAGCAAGCCTACCTCCTCTCAACCCCTTCTGCATTGCAAGGGGCCCTTCCCAACTGCAGCCAGAGATGCTACTAGTCTCATGGGCCAATTTAGAATATGGAAGGGGCAGGCCGGCCCCGTGGCTCACTCGGGAGAGTGCGGTGCTGATGGCGCCGACGCCGCGGGTTCGGATCCTATATAGGGATGGCTGGTTTGCTCACTGGCTGAGCGTGGTGCTGACAACACCAAGCCAAGGGTTGTGATCCCCTTACCGGTCAAAAAAAAAAAAGAGAATATGGAAGGGGCTCAGAAAACGGCTTTTAGGATACAGTGGGCTCCCAGGGGGGCACAGGCATGAGGCTTAAGCCTCCCCCCTCCTCACGGGCCTAGACAGATGACAGAAAAATTCTCACTCCCTCTCGGTGTTGCCTCAGGCGGGCTGTGCCCAGCTACTTCCCCCAAAAGCAGAGCAGCTGACAGAGGATGCTCAGCCGTTCCCCACTCACCTTCATAATGATGTAGAAGGCGAAGTAAAGAAGCAGGTTGCAGATGCCAATGGCCAACAAGTAGGAGGCAAAATCGTTGGGGCGCATGATGAGCCCGTAGGCAGCCCTGGTGGGGAATGAGCGGCTGTTGAAGCAGAGGAGAGCTGAGAGCAAGAAAAGGGCTCTCCCTCGCCTCTACCCCAGCACGTTTTATTATGATGTTGGGCTGGGTTCAAAGGCCCATGGAAGATTCTAGAAGCCCAGATGCCAATACCTCTCTCCTCAGCTCCTATTTTCTATGCCATTTTTATGTTTAAAAGTTCTCCATGGCCCCCAAGGGGGCCAGTGGCCGGCCAAGCCCCCAGCTGTCCACCCAGCCAGGCCACCACGAACAGTGGCCAGACTCACAGCGACCAGTTGATAATGTTGCCCATGACCAGCAGCACCATGCGGTCCTAGAGGGAAGCAGAGACACGGGGACTGAGAGGGGAGGCTGCAGGGGGGGGCAGACAGACAGGTAGAGAAGAAGGCCTTGGAAGAAGGCCCAAGTCAGCCAGTCCCACCCTCCCCTGGCTTCTCAGCTACACCCCCACCCCCATCGGAGGGAAGAGAAGAGGAGGAGGAGGAAAGGGCCAGGGAGTGGGGTAGGTACCACATAGAGGGGCCCGCTGCACTGCCGGATGCAGTCCGTGTAGAGCACGTGAAGGATGCGGCGGAAGATCCCCGAGTCTGCAAGAAGGAAGTGGTGCTGAAAGGCACGGCACCCTTCTCTGCCAGACCCCTGGCCTGTGACAGCTGGGAGGAGCCAGGGCCTTCGGAAGGCACAGCAATGCCAAAGCCTTATTTAATTTCTCGCCCAGTGAGGCATCCTGAGAGGACAGAATCCGAGTGGCTCCTGTGTCCAGGTTCCCAAGGCCACCAACCCCTCATTCCACAGGGCCTCCCAGGCCCCCTGCCACTCCCTGCCCCAGGCATGTCCTCACCCAGCTTCCAGCGGCCCATGTAATAGAGCTGCGTGCTGAGGAGCAGAGTGGCAGTGATGTGAATGATGGAGAAGACGATCCAAAACGCTGTGTTCCCTTTGCCAAACACCTGTCAAGAGGCCACCAAAGGCAGGGGTGAGGAAGTGCTGAGCGAAGCTGCTCCCGTGGCCTGGCCTTCCTGGGGCTCACTGCTCCTCCAGGCAGGAACTCTCTGAGGGGGCCCAGGAAGGCATCTTAGGGAAGGGATCTCTCTTGCAGGAGGTGGAGAGGGGGTGTGCACGCCACGTGTGTGTGAATGCACGTGCACCTTTCCTACAGGGTGAGCAGAGTGGGTCAGGCCCTCACCACGCCCAGCACAGAGAAGAAGATGACGATGGCCAAACAGGCATAGGCGCTATAGGCACTGGCGTTGATGTCTGGGTGCCGCTTCTGGTAGAGCTTCAGCATGCAGAGCCCAGCAATCATGTACATGAACGATGTGTCTAGGTTGGGGGACAGGGAGGGGAGCTACAGAAACATCCAAGCCTCAGCAGACAGCTCCCAGCCCCCACAATCACAGAGGAAGAGAGAGCCCTTGTTACAGCCACTGAATGGGCTGGTAGTGGGTTGGCACTTTAACTCCAGTCCCTTAACTGTCCCTGCCACACCCCACTGGCTTTCATGCAAAGTCTGATATCTCCTGACACCAAGGACAACGGAGTCTGATTGTCTTAGTCTGTGAGCATCCTGAGATAAAGAACCATTTCTTAATTACCTTTGTTTTCTCAGGGCTTGCAGATGCCTTTACATAGGAAAAGCTCGACAGATGAATGACATAGAATCCAGATCCAGATGCCCATTTTCTATATGCTACAATGTGTGCACACGCAGGCACCCCCAGTCTTGCAGTTTCCCACAGGGCTGAGTCTTGAGGATCCCCACAGGTGACTTGGGGATGGTGAAGGACTCAGGCAGGTCCCTGCTCTAGGTTCAGCCAGAGAAGAGGGAGACCCTACTCACCAAACTGGAAATTGGTATAGTTGGGGCAGACATGATAACAAGCACTAAGCAGTCCCTCCATCATCAGGGCTGTGCCCATGGCATAGAACAGACCGAAGTGTTTTGGGATCCCACATTCCTGTCGGGGAGGAAGAGAAAGGAAGGGAGCGAGGAAGTGAAGTGGGATGGGAGGAAGGGAACCGAAAGGCGTAACTGAGAGGAGCAGAGGAGGAAGAGGGGTGGGGGCATGGTGAGTGGGTGTGTGGGCAGGGCAGGGCGGGCAGGACCAGGCCTGCCAGGAAGGGTGTACTAGAGCCGAGGTCTCAACGGGCAGGTAGATGCTCCCTCACCAGGGCATAGAGGTCATTGCGCAGCACGGCTCGGTTGTGGTTGATCTCCCGCTGCAAGATGATGAGCAGGAAGAGCAGCCCCAGCAGGATGTACCCCAGGTTGCTGAGGATGTTGTTGAAGGCGCTGGAAGGGGCGGCAGAAGGCACACCGTCTGGGCCTCACACTCAGGCCTCTCCCCAAGTCCAGGCAGGTATTCACAAGGCCCCTGCCCCCGCCCTGATTCACCACAGGCCTGGAAAAGGGCTGGAAAGGGCTCTCAGCATAGTCCCCACCTGAGGTTGCCCAGTGGGTGGGCACAGAGGAAGTTGTAGTAGCAGATGTCCTGATTCCCTGTGACATTCACCACCTGCAGCGGGAGCAAGGGCAGGGAGTGGGGCTGCTAACGCTGCCAGCTCAGTCCATAGACAACGCCACACCAACTGGGCACATTTTGAAAAGAGGGATACCAAATGGCATAGTCACTGTCCCCCCTCACTAGGTGTGGCTGAAAACCCTGAGGCATTACCGTGACGGAAGTTCTTGTCCTACAGTACACAGAAAGGGGAAAGGAAACTAACATTTGCAAAGTCCCAGCCTGGGCCCATTTTGAAAAGAGGGATACCAAATGGCACAGTCCCCCCTCACTAGGTGTGGCTGAAAACCCTGAGGCATTACCGTGATGGAAGTTCTTGTCCTACAGTACACAGAAAGGGGAAAGGAAACTAACATTTGCAAAGTCCCAGGACTTGTGCTTCATAATCCCCACAACAATCTAGGGAAGCTGCTATTATTGGTATTACGCTGCCCCCATTTTGCAGATGAAGAAACTGATGCTTAGGGAGGTTAAGTGATTTGCCCTAGGTCATTCTCAGCTGGTCAGGTGGACTTGGGATTTGAACCCAAGTTTGTGACCTAACACCTGTGCTCATTCCAGAGCTGGAGGCCCTGCATTTTGAGGTGGTGTCCCCTGTCCTCTCACCGTCTGGTAGGTGATCACTAGCTGCACCACAGGAAGGGCATAGAAGACAGCAATGGTGGCAATGTTCCTGAGGAGCGGGAGGGCAGCAGTGAGGCGGGTGGGGTCTGAGGAGCCACCACGCCACCCACCACCAAAAGGAACTCCTCCTGCTTGGCTCGCTCACCAGAAGTAGATCTGGTACTTTTTCCGCAGAACACGCTTGTCCTTCCGTGCCAGGTCAGCCACGTAGAGGTATTGCTGGGGAGAAGCTGGCATGAGCCCTACCTACCCCAACCTGGCAGAAGCCCCCTTGCCCAAGTTAGGAGGTGGACGAGAGGGGCCTCCCTCAGATAGCCCCAAATTCAGGCAGGCAGGGTTCTGCGCCATCCTGTTGCTGCGGCCAGTTAAACCAAGGAGGTTTGGCCAATCAGTCCAGAAGGGGTTGGAGGTCGAGTTAGTTTCCCCTGGAATCTGTCCTCTTTCCTTCTGCTTCCCTCTATACCACATAGTGGGATAGATACTGGGGCCTGAACACAGAAAGTCCCTTCCTTGGGAAGCCCCTGGCCAGGCCAGGTCCATGGGTCAGACCTTGGTGCGAATGACATTCTTGTCTGAATCGATGTCGGTCAATGTGTCATAGTCATCCTCCTCCACAGAGCTCATGGAGTCCAGTCGTGGCCGAGTGCCCACTGGGTCAAAGGAGTGGCCTGGGAAGGGCAGAGAGGGAGGGTTGTACAGTGGGCACAAAATTTAAGGTCTGCCCCACCCCTCTGAGGCAATTGTCAAAATTACTAGGCAATAGGGAAGAGGCAAATTGTGGGCCGGGGCTCAGAGCAGGGCTGGGAAGAGATATCAGGTGCTCCTGTCCTAGCGAGGAGCAAGGCTCTGTGAAGAGTCCCCCAACAGGGACCGCTCCAGCTTTGCTCTACTCCCACCTCCCTTCCATGAGCTTGGGCTTCCCAAGCCAGGTCACGGAGCAGACCCCAGGCCCCTGACACAAGAAAAAGGATTGAACTTGGCAAATCACGCTGATTAGAACATGCCCAGTACTGTGGGTTCTGAGGGGACACTGTCCTGGCCTCCACTGGTTAAAGACCCAGTGGGCCTGGGGTGCAGGCAAGGGCAAGAGGCCACCTCTAGAAAGAGCATCTCTCCTTCATCCTGTTTTTGTCTCTTGCCTTCATTAGCTTCCTCCTGTGACCATGCCTGACCAAAGCCCCCAGAGGCCAGACCGTGACACCCATGCCTACAAGCCCTACCCCAGCAGGCCAGGGAGTGAGGGTGCTGGCAGAGAGGACAGCAAACTAGAACATCGGTCTGAGGGTAGCTGAGGTGCCAGCCCACCAGCATCAGGGGTCAGTGCCTGCCTATCTCAGAAGTCACAGGAGCTGGCACTCATTGGCATTAGATGGGGAAGCCATGCACAAAGCATCTTTCTGAGCCTGGAGCCAGCAGGCTCCAGTCAACCACCCTGGCAGGAGCTGATTGGCAGGGCAGCCCCACCCCCTCCCCACATCTACCCATGGCAATGCACAGCTGCCGCATCTGGCCAGAAGGGAGACGCCGCTTGAACTGGTCGTGCCCTTCAAAGGAAAGGGAAAGTTACCAAGGAACTGTGGCCAAGGAGGAAAGGATGTGGGAGGAGAGGAGCAGGAGAACAGCAGGCCCTCCCTGGTCCCAGCACCTGGCAGAAGAGGCAACTGCCTGCTATGACGTTTCACCCAGCCAACACCAGCCCTGCACCACAAGCCACTCCCTGCCTGGCCCACTCACCCTGGTAACTGTAAGAGAGGTCCCCAGTGCCCGCACTGTTGACCAAACCATCAGTGGATCCGGAACCATTCTCTGCAGGGAATGGGAAGTGGTGAGGCAGGTAGGAGAGACCTCAGAGAAGGGGACAACACTGGACCCATACCTAAGGGGCTCTGAGCAGCCACGGAGGGTGTGGGCAGCAAGAGGAGGCTGGCTGCCACTTTACCACTTCAGAGGCCTAAGGAGACCAGATTGTGAGCAGGCAAGCACAGCCTCTGGCTTGGAAACGTACGGAGGGTGTGGGCAGCAAGAGGAGGCTGGCTGCCACTTTACCACCTCAGAGGCCTAAGGAGACCAGATTGTGAGCAGGCAAGCACAGCCTCTGGCTTGGAAACGTACCAAAGGAGCCATAGTTGTAACCTTCATAAGGGGGGCTGCCAGGAAAGGAATCAGCCAGGATCCGAGGGTGACCTGCAATAAGAAGTCAAGGTCCCCTTAGCCCTGGAAGCAGAGCAAGGCTACAGCGAAGAAGAGAAAAGGAAGAATCCAGAGAAGATCACCATAGAGAGGCCATGCCAGCAGCAAAGAATACGCACCTCTCCAGGCAAACACACCTCACTCCTACCCCCACCCCCACCTTCCCCGACCTCCTGTGTGCCCCTACAATGGAAACACCCACCACCCTGTGCTCTCTAAAGAGAGAGGAAGGCCAAGGAACTGAGGCATCTGAGTTACCAACAGCAAAAACAGACAATATCCAGCCTGCCCAGGTCCCCCCAGACAGCCCTTGTGCTGCACCTCCCACCCCCCCTCTGGACTCCAGCTCCTCTGCCCACAGCACCTGGAGCTTACCAAGGAGAGAAGCTGAGAGAGAAGGTCCCAAGCAGAAGAGAAGATAGAAAGAGAGGGAGGGGTGGAAGAAAGGGAGAGAGAATGAAAGGTTAATAATCTCGGGGACTGTGAGCAGCACTGCCCGAGGCAGGCAGACAGTGCAGCTAGACACAGAGAATGAATCAAGTGATAACCTCTAAGGTGCACTTCTTAGGCACTGATGGGCACAATGTCCCAGCACTGCTTCCATCTGTAGAGTATTACTCCCAATCTGAGCATTCAGAAGCCCCCAGCCCTTCCTCCTCCCAAGGGAACCCTCCACCACTACTCCCTCTGGAACACAAAGCAAACCCTGCCTTCCCCACCCAGAACCCTGGAAGTACCGCTTTCTGGGCAGGCTCGGTCCATGGCCATCAGCAGGGTCTTCTTCCTCTGCCTGCAGGGACAGAATCCAGGGGCCACCCAGGTGGGGCAGGCCGAGGATCTCTCCTATGCTGGGCTGGCCTTTCTTCTACCCTCTTTATCCCATGCTGATCCCTATCGCACTGTTTCCCGCCCTTGACCCCAGGCTTCCTCCCAGGCTGGGGAGCAATATGGGGTCTGCCTGCTTGGAAAGAAGGTTGAGGGGAGGAGAGGCCCATGGACCACAGACCCTAACAGGGGCCTGCCTTCCTATATTCCACGGATGGCACACGTTACCCTGGGCCGGCTCAGATGCTGCCAGACTATCTCTCCCACACCCCCTGCCCAACCCACCCCCAACCAGGGGAAGGCCCAGCAGTTCTATTTTACCTCCAGTTCTCCCAACAGGCCAGGAGGACAGTCAGCAGGTAGAAGGAAAGAAATATGCCCAAGCAAAAGAGCATCCCACCAACGTAGGCCTCAGCTGTGGGGAGGGAAGCAGGAAGGTGGACAGGTCAAAACCTTCCAACACTGGCACCCAAGGGCCTTCGTGACCTGGCTTCTGTGCCCAGCCCCAATCTCTCATCACTTCCCCTCAAATGTAATGCCCCACCCAGTGTGAACTGGCAGTCCCCAAATGCTCTGACACAATCCTGTCTTCACTCATGTTGCTCCATGTGGAAGAACCTTCTCTTCTACTTCTTGAAAACTCCATCTTGACTTACCCTTCAAACCACAACTCAGAGACTATGCCCTTAGGAAGCCTTCTCTGTCCTATGTCCCCACAGTGACCTGTCCTTTGCTCATCACAGCTCTCAGCACCCTGTAAAGCAACAGCCTCCTGCCCCTGTAGACAGGACCTCCCTGCTAGCCCTAGCAGAGCACCCGATACATGGGAGGGATTCAATAAATATTTGCAGAGTAAATAATCCATATAGGAAAGGCACCTTCTTTCCCTTCCTATCACAATCCTTACTTTTATCTTATACTTTCCAGTTAATAAAGTACCCCATTTAATCACTCCATAAATATTTACTAAGCACTGACTTGGGGCCAGGTACTTTCCTGCTAATTTTGTGCCAAACCTCATAATTTAGTGAGACAAACGGGACAGATTTTATTACCTCTGTTATAGAGATAGGGAAACTGAGGCTCCCTGAGATTACACTGCTGATAAGTGGCAGAGAGTGAATGAGAACTCAGTTCTTCAATCTTTAGTCATGGGCTCTCTGCACCACATTACACTGGAACTCAGGATGGGTTCTTGCCATCTTGAAGCCTGCCAAGAACACTTCCCCTTCCTGCCCCCTCAGCCTGCTTGAGTAGGTCCTCATCCCCCTTCCCATTCAGAGAACACCCTATATCCCAGGTCTGAGAGGAAAAGCCAAAAGGGCTCATCCATTATACTCAGCCACCCACACTCACACGTGACTGCTCGAGATACCAGCACTGACAGGGTTTTCTGGCGGTGCCCTTGATCAACCGGTTCATCTGGAAGTAAAATGTCAGAGTGGCAAATAGGTGGATTCCTGGAGCATGGACCAGGTCTTGGAGAGTCTGGGACCAAAAACCCACATCCTATCAGGTTCACCAATCAACCACACAGGCTCTTCCCACCCCCAGGAAGCCACCAACCCTCCCCATCCCTAGCCAGGTCCAGGGCACAAAATATACCTTCTACAAAGGGGTAGTAAGGCAAGGAACCCCCACAGGCCTGGTCTTCGGTCTTCACCACCACCACCACATAAAAGCTGTTGCTGGGGAAGTCTTTGCGCTGCAGGTTGTTGATGATGAATATTGTCAACATCATCATCATCACAATCCTTTTCTGAATACTTACTTTGGGCCAAACATCACACTAAACTTTTTTTTTTTTGGCAGCTGTCTAGTACAGAGACCCAAACCCTTGACCTTACTGTTATAACACTGCACTCTAACCGAGCTAACTGGCTAGCCCTAAACTCCTCACATATATTACTTTACTTAATCCTCACAAAGACCTTTGAGAAAAGTACTATTATTATCCCTGCTGCACAAGCTCAGAGAAGTTAGCTTGAGGTCACATTGTTTTTTTTTTTTTTTTTTTTTTTTTTTGTCTTTTGTCTTTTTTCTGTGTCCGGCAACGGATCGCAACCCTCAGTGTTGCCCCCGTACCGGACCGGGGACCGGCAACGGGATCGCAAGCCTCGGTGTTGCTCCCGCGCCTCGCTCAGCCAGTGAGCGGGAGCCGGTCTGTATGTGGGATCCGAACCCTCGGACGGGAGCGCCACTGCGCTTCCCAAGCGGCGCACTATCCAGTGCGCCACCGGGCCGGCCCTAGGTCACATTGTTAATAAATGGTAGAGCCAAGATTGTCTGGCTCCAGAACCCAAACCCTGAACCTACACTACAGCCAGGTGAGTAAATGCGTTTGTGCCCTACATGGGTGGTCCTACTATAGGCTGGGCATCAGCCAGGAGAATAAGCTGAGGTGCAATATTGCCCTGTCAGGTGCATGACTTGATGTTGTGAGATAAACACGACTTCCCCCTCCCTGCCCCCAGAACAGGTTTCAGCCTTTGCCAAGGATAGCACCCAGTATCAGCCAGGGCCCTGGGGCCCCTTTCCTCTCTTCACTGTTGTTACAATGATTAAAGTAGATATAACAACCAGAAAGGGAACTCTGCTCTCTCCTGTTCCCAGGGGTGATTGGAATTATTGTTCAACTCTCACATCTATCAGGGGACCCAAAGTCACGCAGACTGGAGGGACAAGACTCAATCTTGTGTAGAGTAGGAATGGAGCAGAGGAAAAGGAGCACAGGGTTTGGGAAGTTACCCAGCCACATCTCCCACAGGGCATGTGTTTGTCCTACCTGCACAGTGATGGCTGCCTTCTTGGTCATAGTCTGGTACATGCCGATGAAGGCCACGTTGTTGTCCAGGTCGTAGACAGGGCACTACAGAGGGAGGAAGGGAGAGGCAGATGAATGGGCCCTAGGCCCTGTCCCTTTTCTTCAACAGCCCAGCTACCTGCTGTTGGAGAGTAAAAGGGCAGGCAACTTACCAGGACATCCTGGATGGAGATGACTGAGCAGGGGAAGGCATTATTGGAGGTCACCTTGACAATCACTGAGTCCACTCCCTCAGGGAACTCATACTTGTAATACTGAGGGCATGGGAGGGGCAGAGAGAGCCCCATCTCATGAGGATGCTCTCTGCCCCTCTAGAAAGGAAGAGTTTCCCACAAGCGAGGACCCAGAATTCTCTCAGGGTTGGACAGTGGAGGCTCTCTGGGCAGAAGGGTCTTGACCATAAGCAGCCTCGTTTTCTGTAAACCATTCCCTTCAGGCTCAGCTGGGCACTCAGGCCAGTGCCTGAGAGGCAGAGTAGGAAAGATGGTCACCAGACTCCATGTCTCTGCACTGTCCCATGCTTCCTGTCCCTCACCACCTCAGGGCCTGAACTCCTTTTTCCAGAGAGTCCCTCCATGGAGAATAACCAACTTGAAAGTCCCAGCAAAGACTGTTGACCAGTCCTACTCTCATGGTCAAATTCCCCCATTTCTCCTCTTGAGGGGTAGTCGACAGGGAGATTTTACCTGGGGCTGGGCTGCTGTGGTATTGAAGCTAAACTGCTCCCCCGTCCTGCAGGGCAGAGAAGAGCCCCCCATAGTCACTCCCAGAGCTTGGGAGGTAGGCCAGTCCCCATGTTCCCCTCGTTCTACCCTGCTGACCTGAGCACAAAGTCATCCATTCGGCTGACCCGGAGCTGGTACGTGGTGTTGACTAGTGACAGGGTGGACACATCCACGTAGAAGAACTGGACCTCAGACTCATTCTTGGTGGGGGGCTGACAAAGTGTTCGTTCTACCTTTTGGTAGAGGTACTTGCGCTGATACCTGTGGCCCGAGGCAGAGAATCAGAACATGACTCCTGTCCCAGCTGGCCTGCCACTCCAGAGGAGCAAGGCCCCAATTCTTCCTATCTGGTCTCTGCCACCTCTCACCCTTAGGCTGACAAGCTCCAGGCTGGCTGGCTTGGCCCTCATGCCATTGACCAGCTTCCTGGCTCAGGGAATAGGGAAGAGAAACAGGGGGGTACCTGAGTGAGGCCCTGGGCAAGGCCTGGCCTGGGTCCCCCCTCCCTGATCCCCAGGTCCAACTCACAGCCCTCGCAGGATTAGGGGCACCTGGAAGGACACCACAGCCTCCTTCTGGCGGACCACAAACAGCAAAGGCGCCCCCTTCTGCTTGTTCAGGACGTTCACTGACACACGCACGCCCTCCGTCTGCAGAATAACACAGAAATGTCCCTCTCAAGCCTCTGCCACCTGGTACACATGGCCCCAGAGACTGTGAGCCTGACCTCTCTCATGCCAACCACATTGTTCTTTCTCCATCCTGGTCAGACTGGGAAGCCATCTATGTCCTTCTTCTGCCAGGACATCCCCCAGTCTCCAGGACGGACTTATGCTGAGTGAGAAGAGAGGCTTATGGAAGACACAGGCTCCTGGGTGGCAGGTGTGTGTGGGGCAACAGGACCTAAACGACTGCCTACCTCCCCCACAGGAAACGCAACAGAGACCTTGGGGATCTCCAGGATACCCCATTCCTGTCCATGTGCACAGACACACAGGCCTGCACACACATGTGCACGTACACACCCACACAGGAGAGCAGATTCTCCTCAGTCTTCTTGTGAGCCAGGAAACCAGTAGGAAACTCTGCTTCAACAAGTAATCTCGGGGGTCAGAGCCCACTGGGGGTAGGAGTGAGGGCAGGGGTGGAAGAAGGATGGGGGTAGGGAGGAAATAGGTTTTGAAAGCCAAGTTGCCCTTAGCTCTGACCAAGGGACCGGCTGTGGAGAAGTCACTTCATATCTCTAATCTCAATTTCCCCCTCTATAAAAATGATATTCTCACCTTAGGAGCTATGGAGGAACATATATAGGACAGTGGGAGCTTAAAGAAAAAAAAAAAACTACATAAATTTTGGGAATGCTTGTTACTGAGCTGCTGAAACCCAAGCCCTAAGGCAGTATTTCCCAAAGGGGTAGAGACCACAGCTCTTGGGGTGACCCCAGATATGGGAAAAAAGAAAGGACTCCAAGCAGGAGATCAAACTTCAGAGGACCAGGAACTGAAGGCAGATCCTGGCCTGCCAAAGAAAAACTCCTCCCCATACTAAAAAAAAAAAAAAAAAAATCAGATTCCACCTTCTCGACTCCACTGCTTCCCAGTAAAACCAGTTCTGGAGAAAGAGAGCTGGGTAGGAAACTACATAGCCAGGCTGCAAGAATTTGCCCAATCTCAGCTCTGCCTGGGGTCAAGACTTCCCAAACCTAGCTATGCCAAGGTTCAACTCAGGGACTCATACCTGGGGAAAAAATGAAAGAAGAGTCAGGGTAAGGTGGATTCTTCACAGTGGACAAACTCCCTTTCTCTTCCCACCCAACTTGAAGTTGGCCTTATCTCTGCCACTGGCAACTTACAAGGCCAGCTGCCTTTTGGGGCTGGGAAGTCCTGCCTTTATCTTTCTGAGGAGCCTGAGCTGTAATTTGCCTAGGCAGAGCTTTCAGTTCTGGGCCTGTCTATCCCCCTGGGGGTTTCTGGGCAAGCCCAGAACCAAGCCTGCGTTCCCTCACAGCCAGACCCCACAGAGCTGAGATTCTGAGGCTGAGGGTAGAGAGCAGACCAGGCTCCATCAGACCACAACTGGTGGAAAGGAAGGGGTCGAAGAGAAGCTGGGAAAAAGACAACTTCAAAAACTGTCCAGTTGGAGCTTCAGAGAAACACTGATGGCAAAGGAAGAGGGACTGGTCGCGAGGCTCCAGAGTGGTTCTGGGAACCGGGAACCCAACGGGGCAGCTCGTTCATGGAACCTCCTAAAAGGGTAGGGGATTGGCAGGATCGCCTAAGCCTTGTCTGCCCAGCCACTCACCTCAGACCCCCAGCCCGGCCCCAGCCCTCACCCGGTTGCGGGTCACAGTATGGTTGAAGGTGTAGATGTTCACCAGCTCACTGTTGACCTCGTCCACGTAGGTGCGCTCAAACTCGGCATCTTTCTGCGAGACGTTCTTGGGCCCCAGAACCCCCAGATGGCTCTCGACCGAGGCCCCCAAGAACACCAAGAACGGCAAGCCCAGAGCGAACATGGCCCTGGCAGGGCGGCAGTGGCAGCGGTAGCAGTGGTGCTGGCGGCGGCGGCGACAGGCGACAGGGCACCTCTGGGACGGGTTGCGGCTGCGGCCGCAGCTTCCAGCATCTCACCAGTACCAGAACTTTAACCCCGGCCCGAGATTAGGAAACGTCTCCTCCCCAGGAGCCAAGGAAACGCTCCCCGGGGCCCTGGAGGGGAGGGG